GTCAGATCAGAGCGGTCAAAGGTCAAAAGTTTCCAATTTAGCAAGAGGGCGCCATTCATGCCTTATTACAGAATTTGCACGCGTAAATCGCGGAGAACGCTATCTTGTGTTTATAAGATCTTTGATGCAGACGACAAAATGGCAGCCACCTATGAGAGGATGATTAAACCGTGTTTTCATCTCTAATTTGTTCATTTGGCCTAGATAGACACTTCGTCAATAACCAGCAAATTACATCATCTGCGACTGGTCGATTTGTGTTATGTATGTAAATGTGTTGAATGCACATGGACAGGAAATACATGTGCATCCAGAACACACATTTCGTCGAGGCAGTGCTCGACCAGATGCCATCTTTCTGCAGAGAAACGAATACGGAAGTGACTGGGCAGGGTGCTGTGCCCCTCTCAAATTTGTCACAATTAGCCAGTCGATTTTCAGTCTCTGGTTCTTTTTCACTGCTGTGGTTTGTGTCGCGTGTGTCGCATATTTCGCGGTGGCAACGAAGGTATATGTAAGTTAGTAAATTTCCAAGAAAAATGTATGGAAAATTTAATTATATCACCGAAATTCAGTGTGGGGGGGGGGGGGGGGGGGGGGGGTGTTGTTGTTGGAGAATTCTCTGGTAGGGAGTACGGCGAGGTGGAGAATTTTTCAAAGGGTGGGATATTTATTGCTGGCGGTGAAGATAAAGAAATACGCCCAGGTTAAAAACATTAGAAATTGGTTTTTGATCAGCAAATTAAAATTTTAGTCCAGTGAACTATTAAATGTATTTAGCAATAAATCATACATTGTTTTAGTAGAACAATGGAATTTGTGATATCTATACAATTACAAGATATTTAAAAAAAGACACTATAATTATAGTATTTAGTTAAATTTAATTTGTTTTTGATTTATTTTTGACAGAATTCAGTCTTCTTAAATTATGTTGTAGCAGTGCTGCTGTCTGCATGTATATTATATATTCTTTATATTTTGTTCTGCAAAGTTAAAGATGGTAAGTTTAAGTGCTGACTGACTGATACCGTTTGTCATAGTTTGTCAAACAGAATGTCAGAGTAGGACAGTTATACCCTATTGAGAATACACTCTGTTACGATTGGTTGCGCTGTAATCGGTGATAATCCAAAACTGATTACTCCCGATCACAATCAATGAACGCATTCAGACCAACACAAACAAACTTTACATTCTAGGGCGTAGGCCTCCGGTGGCTAGGCCTATGTTGACTGACCTCAGCCAAACAGTGTCTGTGGAATTCGTTGTGATTCGTTGCGATCGGATTCCGTGGTAATCGGGAGTAATAAAGATTATAGCACCCTATCGCAACGGGTAACAATTGCGATATCGATTACATATCGACTATATTGGTGAGCTTTCACACACGATTTTACTTTGCGATTGATTGTTGCAATTGCTACAACCCATCGCAATGCAATGCTAGTCTGAATGGGGTATTACTCTACTTTTTCATGACTGTTTTATTACGTTTTAAACTAATGTGGCATTGTTTGAGAAGATGCAGAAAAATAAAACAAGTTGAACAAATATTTTTATTCCTATTGAAAAAAATAGTTGACAGTGCCAATTTAGCTTGAAATTTACTTTTCATTTAAAAACAAAATGGTTGAATGCAGAGAGAATGCAGAGAAACGCATCAATGCACCAAAATTGTAAAGCGGGGCTATTACTGTGTTCGACGGTCGTCAGCTAATGCGATTCTATGGAGAACGCTACGCCACAACCTGTGTGCAACAGATTGTTGTTTGTGATGATCCGTTCAGACTGCTGTAAGTCTGCACGTGGCATTGCGTTGCCTAACGCTCCCAGGAAGTGGAGCTCTCAGGATTCGTCGGCCTATGATCATACGACCATTATATTATGCACTGAGTGCCCGACTTAATTCAGGACAACTCTAGAATATCAAAAACTAAGGGAGAGCTGGCAGACTTAAAATATATTTGTTTGGCTCGTCTTTATCCATGTTACACACACACTAAAAAATTAATGGAAAGTGCCGCATACTTTGAAAGAGATGTAAAACAGATCCATGCCTGTTTGTTTCTTGTATTGATTTTTTATAGTCATTTACTAATTTTGTTTTCTATAGAAACAATTGTTTTGCTTCCCTCCATTGGTATCCAGCTGCAGAAATGCTCTGCATTTGGTCAACATTCCACTGAATTCATTCCATATGATATTGTGAAAGATGTTGTTATAAATGAGGCTATATCTATGGTAAGGTATTTAACAATTACTGTATAACAAGCAGTTAAGGTGGCATTCCATACTTGTTTAAATATGACCTTTCTGTGATACAGTAATATTCCAGAAATAATTTGTTGCCTTTTGATGTCTCATATTTTTGAAAACTTGGTTTGCCCTTTTAGCATTCCATACATGTTTATTGCCCAGTTTTCACCTTTTAGCATTTAAATATTAGTTTGTTAATCATATTTGCATTATTCAGTATATTAAAATTTAGCTCAGGATTTGGTTTACCATTTTGGCATTCTGTTGTTTATTTTTTAGTTGCCTGATTCAATATATTATAGTTAATAAGCTTGCAATTTGGTTTACCCCTTGTAATATTTGCCCAATTCAGTAAAATGAGCAAACTAGAGAAAATAATATTGAAAATGGAACAATCTGTGGTGTCCTAGTGGGTGTGTATCATGAGTTTTAGGTCTTAATCACAGCAAATGCAAGATGGGCAAAATGTTTCCATTCTACTGTACATGTTTTTACATTTTTATTTCATATTTTTGATATATGAATTTGTACATTATTGTTGCAACATATTCTTGTAAGATTCTATTCAGTCACAGCAACTTGCAATTATGTTTCAATTTGTATACAATTCACCACTGTTTAATTACACCATTTATTGCATATTTTATAGTGCATTCTATGTCTGTTTTTTAATGACTTTTGTGAAGTAACTGTATCTTATGGTAATTTAATGTCTAATAATTTATTTCCTGCATTTTCACCAAGTTTTTCTTTTCTACAGTACAAAGTTATTTATTACCTAGTTGTGCTTGTGAACTCTCCAACTTCTGATTCAGAGGAATCTGTTATACCTGTTTTTACAGTAAGTACTATGAATTGTACTTCAGGACCGAGAAAATAACGACATCTCTCTCAGCCCCAAGGCCTCTTTAGGGGCCCAATTTAATTGGTTGTTTGGTTTCATACTGTAGGCACTTTACTGTGGAGGTAGTGTATGGTATATGGTGCCTAGAGACCGGGTGAGCTCATAAGAGAGCAAAACAATAACACAAAAATATAAAAAACCCTGAAAGTTAAGTGTTTGAATGATGACAATCCAGTACTGAATTTGACCAATAAATAAATGCAGAGAATATTTAATGATATTTAAACATGTTTTACGATACAAGAACGGCATTTCTGATATGGTAGTTGCAACTCTGAATAAAGCAACCTTAAGTTTTGGCCTGCAACAATCATACCTCTGTCTACAAAAAAAATAATTAAGCATCCCTGGCCAGCACAAAGCAGAAAGGAAAATACTGCATATGGGCCAGTATAGAATTTCTACCAATGTGGAATGGTCATCAAATTATCTGTATAATTTCTGTTTTCCAGAATTCATTGCCAAGACTTGACATCCTACGTGTAATCTACAATATATGCCAAGAAGCCTTACATAGCCATCAGCAAGAAAGACTAGATCTTTCCAGAGTGTCAATCAAACTTAACAGTTGACATTTATGTGAGACCTTAGCAACAGTATCCAAGGGGTGGAGCTTAGCAGTATGGTCCATTACACTGATCAAGACTGATTGAGTTGTATCGAAAAAATGTGGACCAAGTTAGTACAGTATGCGCTAGAGTTGCATTATGATGTCATTTTAATACCGTCCTGAAAATTAATTATTAAGGACAGGTTGTGTATACATGCAAAATTTTTTTATATTTGGCCATTTTGCTTATTAAATCAGAAATATTTCATTTGTATCAAACAGTATAGAACTACAAGAAGTCCGACTCTTGTTGGAACATAATCTTATTTCAAAAAGTACTGCCACGAGCGAATCCTAATAGGGCGCCCCTCAATTCTATACTCTTTGTATTAAAAGTTACATTTTGTAATAATGTAAGATTTATATTGTGAAGTCTCAAATCGCCCAGTTCATACAGCTACAGGTATATGCATGTAACATTTTATTACACACCGCAAGAGCGTGCGCTGCTGTTTCAAAAGCATTTCAAATAAAGATATACTCTCATCTGCCCACTGCAAGGGCATGAATAAATGGTCACATGTTCAGAATGATTAATAAAGGTGCATGAATCATATTATATTGCATATAAATACTTTTTAGAAAATAACACCTGTTTGATAGAGAATGGAACGTGCATTATAATTTTTAAATTTAAACAGTTTTATAAATCACTTATAATTTTACTGAAACTGTGAAAGTAAATATATTCAAAATATAAAAATAATTTTTCATTACTATTTCTTTGTATTACCAAGTACTGTGTGATAATATATCATTAAAATAAATTGTTTTCATTGAAAACATTACAATTAATAGTAGCACCAATATTTCTCCATCCCTCATAATTTCACCTTAACTATTATCATCATTATTTCTTTGTACTAAAAATTATCCTCAAATTACTCTTCAAAGTGCTGTGTTTAATAATACTGTTATATTAAAATAAATTGTTTTTCTACAATTGAAGTACTATTGTTTTATGGCATTATTTATTTAATTGGTAGTATGCCTATTCGTCTACACACAATTTTTGTAATAATTAGTGAGGGTGCACTTCAACCCTAAAGCCAGGCTTCAAAGGGGGACAAAAAAAAAAAAGATATTTTGTACACTTTAAAATCAGTTCTACCAGATTATTATTATATCAAATAATGTTTACCCTCTGGAGCCTGTCTTTCTGGATAGCCAAATTCTGAGTTTTTAGATGGTAATCTAAAGTTAGTCATCTGTGAGAAGCATTGTTTTGACGTCTTTACATAGAAATGATTATAGTACAAACAGTCACATGGTCGCCATAACTGGATGTGCAGGTAACAGCTTTGCGAATATACATTTCCAATCCATGAATTGTCAAGTTGAGTATATGGTCTTCCCTGTGATTGACATTTATGTTTAGAAAAAAACTGATATTTTATTTGAAATGAAAAGAATAAATATAATGCTCTTGCCTGCTTGAACAAATAAGATAATCTAACAATTAAAGTCTCTTGTGCAGCGTGTTAAACAATGAATAGAAAATCAAGAACTCTTGTGCAATAAAAAGATCCAAATGCTGCCCCCAGATTGCCCCATACCAACTCGGAGTATCCAAAAATATGGGGTCGAGTTGATCTTGAGTTAATACTTCAGACTGTTGAATACCCACTTTGAGTTAACAGCTGTTTCACATACTTGTAAACAACAAAAATTGCACCATTGACTGGGATTCCTCTTAACATTGTGACTGTCACTCCTTTAAATAAAATGCTCCAGCCCTCTTTCCGTGTGCATTGTAATAGGCAATCCAGGTAGCTTGAATAAAGCCTCATATGGCCAACACCATCAGCTTGCCAGCGGGACTTGATTACGTCTAAAGGGTAGATGGACAACCAAGACAGTGAACCTGCAAGTCCTCCGGCAAAGAACAACCATACAGTGGAAGCCTTGTTCCCTGGTGTGTATGATGCAATTAGACTTGAAAGGTAATGATCAGCACAAAAGTACAGACCGGTTGATGGAATATCCCGTATTAAATTGATCCCTATTCCACGATAACAACCTTGCAATCCATCCGATTTGAATATCTTATAAATCGCTTGTAATGAGTTCTTGTAATGTTTCTGTGATTGCGCAACTTGTTTTGTTCCGATACCTTGCATTTGGAGCCTGATTTTAGCCAAGTCCAGGGGACATATAAATGATGTACAAACTAATCCAGATATTGAGCCAGCTATAAAATGATTAGTAGTACTGGCACCACCAATCAATTCTAATATATTGTCTTCAATTCCAAATAAAAAAGAGTTGGATAGTACTGCACCACACAGTGGTGATATCATGCCCTTGAAGAACCCAAATGTCTGAAAAAAAACAACATTTGTACACTAATTAATTTACAAAAATCTCATTCAACAATGCGTGAAACCCACATAGTGAAAGCTACAATAATTTATCGTAAATGTAGAGTACAAATTAAGCAAAAGCTTGCTCCCTGCCACTGGGAATGTTCAAACAATCCCCTTATTTTTCTACCTCCATTTCACCTCTATGCCCTATCATCCCCCCCCCCCCACTTCAAGGTTCCAAGATATGCCACTAGAGAATAACCCATAACTTGCAGCATCATTGAGCATCATTGTGCTTAATTGCGTATAGGCATATAAATTTAAGAATTTTTGTAGTAAGATCAGGGAAAAGCAATTTTTTTTCAATTTCTTACTGGTTGGAAGTTAATAACTTATTTGATCTGTAAATGCAAGTTTTGATTGAATTTTTTCAGTTTTTTTGGCAGTCGACAGTGCATCTTTAACAAGGACAGCACATTATATCTCCAATAATAAAGTCAAGCACAGAAGACCACTTACAGACTCCTCCCTTGCAATACGCATGAAACATTCAAAACCACTTTTATACCGCGTCACAGTTCCTTGGTTCTGTAAACGAACTAAACACACAATACATACATAATAATATTAATAATAATAGTAATAATAATAATAATAACAATGCCAAATATTTATATAGCGCCAATTCCAAATTGAATGGTCAAAGGAGCCGAGTTTTATGACCCCCGGATAACATACAATGGCAAACCAGCACAAAGTGCAACCTTTTCTGCTCCCTGGGGAGTATACCTAGTCGTGCGCTTGTACTCCGCACACGTAACTAGTACATTCAATGCCACAACATCCTACCAGGTACCCATTTATACTCTTTGGTAGAGAGACACAAATGTAGATTAAGTGCCTTCAACAAGGACACAAGCGACTTGAACAGCGAGATTTTCGAGCCCCTGACCTCTAGGTTGGGAGTCCAAGCCACAACCGATGCACCAACCGCGGATCGGACAAAGACAAGCCAAACAAGTCATTCGTCGCGAAAATTGATATTTAGTTATTAGTAATACAGTAAAATGAGAGCTATAAAATGGTCATCATTTAAATCTGACATTTTGTTAATATGAAGTTACAGGAGGTTAAACAAAAAGCTGTTGAAAGAATAATATTTAAGAAATTGGCCTTCAAAGTTTAAGATTTTGGACATTTTTCAGGCAAAAACAATTACCAATTAATTAAAAATTGTTGTTTTAACATTGAAAATTGAGTAAATAACAGCATAGCATGATCTATAGATATATATAAAGGTTAGTTTAGTGTAATAAAATCGATTTCCAAAATGTTGACATTCTAGCATGTTGTGGCCATTATCTCTGAAACAGGATTTGCAACGAATGACTGGTTTGGCTTTTCCACATATTACGTAACATTTTAAAGCCAGGCACCAGAGAGAAAACAAACATTTATATGCTTGTCAGATGAATTTTGTAACACAGTACTGTAAAGGGGAATGGCTAATAAGATACAGACTTTTTTATATTTAAAAACTGGTGGAGGGGGAAGTGTAACACCTATAGGGGTGGTGCAAGCTAGTTTTTATCTTAATTACTATAACAATGTGTTGATTCATTAGATAGTATAACTGCATATATCAAATTTGTATTTAAAAACAACTGGAATCAATTTTGTTTAATACATCACAACTAAAAAGTTTTACCTTTGACCTTTAAAAAATTCTTTCATAATTTATACATAGTGTAAAGTCTCTTGTGATAATATTTAGGTCAAACTATTTGCTTACCTTTGACCGTGTCAAATGGGTGGCCAACAACAGTCCCAGCAATACCTAAAATATATATTCAAAACATAATTAAGGTATTGATAAATAATTAATTAGCATCATCATTACATATTTATTTACAGTTTATTTATTTATTTACAAATATATATATAAAATGGATAACATGTTCATAAAAATTATGTTCTAATAAATTGTCCATGAAATAAATATGAATATAACAATTATAAATAACAAAAAAATATATATTTTTGGTTTTTTACAGTATTTAAATGAAGTTATGCTATGTTTAAATACATAATAATTAAATTTGATTATACATAGAAAAATATAGTTACTTTACCTAAAGCACAATTTTATTTTGAATTTTTAAATGAAGATTAATATAGTACATTTTCTACAATACACTTTCTATCATCAATCATCATTAAATTGTTTACATGAAAAAGAGTAGACAGATCATTAGCATGACTGCCATCCAAACGATGAGAAAAAGAATCTCCATAAAACTTCCCGAAGCGTTGAGATAAAAAACTAATGCTATACTAAATATTACTTTTCGGTTCAGATTTTCTATATATTGGGATCACTAATGTATACACATGCATTACAACAATGCTGAATTGTCTAGGTCTATCCTCAACATCAGTAGACTCGATAAATGGAAAAATGAAGTAAGTAAAAAAGGCAACAAATGTTAAAGATGTCTGTGAAAAATGGTCTAAAATAAAGTTGACAGGCCATGTAGCTGGCATGTATCATAACAGGTGGGCTAAAAAGTTAACAGTATGGACGTAATGATTATGAAAGCGAAAGTAGAACTTTGGATCTAGTTGAGAAATGTTATTAACATAAGGTCTGTGTACACAGTGATACACTTCAGGAACAAGAAACCTTGTGATAACAAGTATTTAAACTCTGCAAAGTAACTTCTGCTTAACTTACTGTTTATTACAAAAGACTACTAAACAGCACATATTATTTAAACTAATACTGGACATAGACAAAGAAGTTAACTGCAGGAACAATAATATTATGATAAATTGATGGAAACAAATTGCAATTTTAAAAAAGTACTAAATTAGAAGAAAAAAAACATGACACATCAATAAAAATTAAAGGAACAAAAAGAAAGAGGATTAGATTCACAAACAAAAAAAATCAAAAAAATCATCCCATTACAAAATACACTAAACTACCTCATTCAGTTCTTGATTGATTAATGCTGTACTGTATTATTATTTATGTGTTCTATTTTCTCATTATCTTATAGTGGTTTAAAAAATTGGGTAATGAAAAAGGACACATGAAGAATAATTACCCCTTAAGAGATTTTATATCGCAGGGGATATGGTTGTTTCTGAAACCTTTGTATGCTGATTTGTTAGGGGGACCTCCCTGCACAGTGTGATCCTATCTTCACAGTGGCAGATTCAAGGGGGAGGGAGGAGAAGCCAGCTCAACCCTCTCCCCCTAAATTTTTCAAAATTATAAAGAAGTTCCGTCCATGTTCCTCACTGGGCCCGATCTATTTCAAATTCCTAGACCCGCCCCTGCTTCAGACTGTGTATATTTTTACCCAAGCTGGTTTTGACTCTCCATCTGTCAAAGTGCCTCTCTAGGCCCCCATTTATATCAAATTCCTAGATCCGCCACTGCTTTAGACTGTTTTTCATTAAATTGGGTATATATATATATTTATATATATATATATATATATATATATATATAAATTTTGTATAACTAATTTAACACTTACCTTATTATTAGCATCAATATGTATAAATCTTAGGCTATAATAATGCAATGCTTTTGTCATTTTTGTTTACCTATGTTATTGCTAATGACTATGGTCTATTTAATGTACTTGTTAATGTTATGTTCGTTTGCATTTTTTATGATTTGTATTATATTTTGTATATTATATCTTTAGCCTGAATAAATAATAATAATGATTATAAAATAATTTATAAATCCAGTATTAGTGATTTAAAGCAAATTAATGATCTACAAAGGAACAACTCATTCAATATTTATCTAACTCTCACCTGAGGCGCCACCAGCAACAAATTCACTCCACGTGAATGCCATTTTTGTAAAAAGTCTGAATATTAAAAGAATGAAGATAATATTATCAAATATTACTGGAGAATTAGATAATTTATTAAACAAAGGTTAAGGATATAATTAGCAAATCTTTACATGTTGATGAAAAAAAAAGGTAAAAATGAATGAAATGCAGATGAATAATTTCATGATGGAACTGATCGATGAAAGAACATCAATCTTTAAAAATAGGAATCTGCTAAAATTTTAACGAAAATTAAATAATTAATAAAATTTTTATTGGAATAATATTTTTTTTAATAACTCTCTAAATAATTGGAATTAATAAACAAAATTTCAATATCCCAAACTTTCAAAATGCAAATAAAAATAAAGTGTAGGTCAATGACCTTTTGTCCTCTAGTTGCGTCAATTTCTGCCAATTTCAAAAATTTTTAAATTTGAATGACTGACCAATCTATAGGCTAAATGTTGATACCAACATCATACAAATCCATTGAGTAAATCAAGAGTTATGAGCATTTAATTTTATCCCCTACCCCAAAAACTGTTGTTGATTACAAATTCTAAGATTATAACACAATGACAGTAGTACATTTAATCAATTTATACATTTTTCTTGATAATATCATTGTTTTATATTCCATATGCTTATTTATAATAGAAAATCTTGTAAACGTTTGTGAGTGAATTGGGAATAAATTTACAACTTTTCTGTGGAGGTCAATGATTTGACCTCTAGCTACGTCAATTTCAGGCTGTTTCAATTTTTTTTCAATTTAAATGACTGACCAATCTATAGGCTAAATGTTGATACCAACATCATACAAATCCATTAACTAAATCAAGGGTTATGAGCATAAATATTACCCCCTACCCCAAAAACTGTTGTTGATTACAAATTTCTTGGATCATAAACATTGACAATAATAGTACATATGGTAATGCATTTTAATTTTTTTCTTGTTAACCTCAATTTTTGTATTCCATATGTTAATAACTACAAGAAAAACACAATTTGTATCAAATACATCCAAAATTAGACATATGACACTGAAGTTTATTGATATTTTATGAAAAAATCTGCATTTTAGTAAAAGGTCGATGACCTTTTGACCTCTAGTGACGTTAATAATTGTCGGATTAATTTTATTTAAACTGCATATGATTAAAAAATATATGCTACACATTGCTACCAAAGTAACATTGATGGGATTTCTAATTCACAGGTTATGGGCATAAATGTTACCCCTCCCCCCAAAAAAAGTATTGACCATAAAACACTAATGACCATTACAAATGAGGCGAGTACATACAATGCATCCCTATATTTTTTCTTGTTAACATAAATTTTTTCGTTTTATATGCCCGTAGGAATAAAATGATACCAAGGAAGTTTAACTGTGGGGTGGGGGGTGCACGGTGCACGGTGATCCCCCTCCAGCCCATGACCTAATAGTCTTATCTTACAAATTTGTAATAATTGGAGTAATGCAAATGAATATTTTCTAAAAAAAGTCAGTTTTTAGTGAAATTTTGCCGGGAATGGGGCTTTAATTACTGACACTACAGTAGGCCTACTTACTATTAATTGATACTCCCAACCCTAACCACAACTCCAGCCTCATTTAAGCATGAACTTTAGGTCAGATATAGTTGTGCAGCATACCGGTCCAAAGATCTTACATTTGTTATAGAAAACCATTGCTCACAAAAAACAAAACAAAAGGTACGGGATCGATTATGATTATGGTAAATTCCAGAGGGCGCTACCTTTGTAACACAGGACGCGCGACAACGAACGGCCGTACCAAAACATAAAATCCAAACCAAAAGCAAAATTCTAACATGCCCAACAAGAAAAGTCCTCTTCAGGAGGTGCAACGAGAAGGCGACACGCTAAAAAGAGATGTTAGTACACAACTACATTAACTTCAGCTTGAAATTGTGTACTAGCCTAGGCCTAGCCTAGTACTAGTAGGCTACCACACTACTAGCATAAATCATGGGTAGCTAGAGGTCTGTCTACCTAGCTAGGGCCGTAGGCCTTGGGGCCTAGTACTAGTACTACTACTACTACTAGGCTACTAGGACCCTAGCCTAGGCCCTAGGAATAGGATATGCCTAGCCCTAAGCTAAGTCTTAACTAATTCATGTGGTGGCAGGTCAAAACGGCAATAAACCAAAACGGCAATGACCTAAACGGCAATCACCAAAATAGCAATGAACCAGAACGGCAATGACAAGTACCAAAACGGAAACGGACCAAAACTGCAATGACAAGTACCAAAATGGCAAAGGAACGAAATCAATGCAAGACTAGCATGTGCCAGGCGTAGGCCGCAGTTATAATTTTCGACATCGTTTTGATATTGTACCAATAGGCAACTAATATTGCCATGGGCTCTTTTTCCCACTTTCAATGTTTATTATTATTATTATTATTATTATTATTATTATTATTATTATTATTATTATTATTATTATTATTATTATTTTGCATTTTTTTACTTTTATAACATAAATTGTTTAGCCTCATTTTGTCTGTATTTGAAAGTTTTATTTGTTTAAATGTTTTACTGCTTTTACATATTGTTTCTCCCCCCAATCTTTTTAATATTGGATTTGTATGACTATTTTTATGATTATTATTATTATTACAGTATTATTATTATTATTAATGATATTATTGTTAATGATATTATTGCTGATGCTAGCCTCATTTTTACCATATTTAATTGTAGTAAACTTTCATGTTTATAATTAGTTAATTTTTTTTGCATTTTTACTTTTGTAACATAAATTATTTAGCATCGTTTGGTCTTGCCGTTTTGACTTACTGCTGTTTTTGTCTATTGCCTTTCTGGTCAAAAAGTGTTGCTGTTTTGGTTTTTGACCATTTTGGTCATTGCCGTTTTGTCCAGAAACCATTCATGTAAGTCTAAGATGTACCAAACCTAGGCGCTGAAAAATCTGGCATTGAGGCGTTGAATATTCCGTCAAGTTTGCAATGCCTGAGAAAATTCTCATTTAAAAATGTTATTATGAAAGAAGAAGCCTAGAAGCCTAGGCCTACCTACTTAAGCCTCCGGCCTTGGGCAGTCTCAGGAGATGTCACTCCACCATATTCGACCACATACTGTATGAGGGGTCCCAAGTTGGAAGAAGTTGTTTCCAGGATATCTGTTTTCTTTCAATCTTAGCACATCTTTGTTTTGCTCAGTCCTTATATAGTCCACACGGTGATACTAATCGACACAGACTTCTGTTAGAGAAATGATAATAAAGGGGGTAATACTAGTAGAAAAAACATGCAGATTTAATAATTTTGCAGAAGATGGGTTAATTTTTTTGGGAGATCCAGTTGCGGGAGTGTGAGAGGCTGTCCCAATTTCCGGGAGGCTCCCATAACTTGTGGGGGACTTGGAACCCCTGATATACAACTTCATTCTGACATAATACAGGAGTTTCATCTTCTTCAGCACATGCATCGGTTGACGTTCAACCATCCACCGATTAATTAATTTGCATGCACCATGTATAAACGCCCATGCAGGCGAAATCACAGACCCTAATTGCTAAAAAAGTTCTTTTGCTGTCCCCTAGAAATCATTATGGTTACTAATACCGATGAAGCGTGCACCGCACATAATAGATCACTTATGGCCAGTATTAGTAAATTACCACCCTTCATGTCTTCATACACATCATTAATTTTCTTAAGCACAGAAGGAGGCATGTCATTTTGATTTCAACATATAATAGGGATTTTGCTATTTTAGTAAAATCTATTAACTTTTTCACAACACTGATCTCAGCATGTATGCTTAACTGCATCTGGACTGAAATTGATTGGTAGATCCTATCGAGTATTGATGTAAAAGTTAGTTATGACCTTGCTCTTTTTTTTCCTCACAATGGTCATAAAGTGATATTTGGTACAATAAACTTCACAATTCTTTCAGGTTGATAAGTTTGTTGATGAATGTCAAAAGTTTATAGATGACACAACTGTTGCAAATAGTGACAAAAAACTGAAGACTTTGCAAAAAAGGTAAGCTAATTTACATAATAAAAGGATTAATTAATTAAATTAATTTTTATTTTCACTTGGGTGATGCTTCCCGCTTAGCAAATTTTCAGGGCACCTCTCTAAACAATCAAAATAATAAGATGCTTCATAAACCAAGTCTCATTATGTGGCTTGGTAGTGGAAATAATTTTAGCTCCGATGAGGAGCTCTAGAAACACTCAGCTGATAGATCTTTTTTAGCTCTACTGCCTCTATTATACTGCCCTCATGAGGAGCTCTTGAAACACTCGACTGATTGAATAATTGATTGATAATATATTGTTTTTAGATCTATTGCTTCTATTATACGGCCTTCATCAGAGCTTTTGTGATTATGAAAAATCCTGTATCGCATTAGATTTGAACGTAGGACCTTGTGATTGAGGGCAAGCAACCATCTTAACCATCAAAATACCTCTCCACTACTACTAAATGATTTAAAAATCATTTTTGGGGCTCTTAAATAGCTGAAATTAACTCCCTTGCATTCATCATTGACATTATAGAATCTATTTTTTTTTATCACTTGCATCTTTGTTGTTCTCCATTCATTGTTCATTTTTTTCACAAATAAGGCTACTTGTATGCTGCTTTCCATCTCTGGAATCAACCTGGTCCATCTCTCTGACTTGCAATGATTCTATTTATAAATGTGAACATTTTCAGTATATTTGTTAGCTTGTTTATTTAGGTAGGTATAATTTGTCATCTGTTATCCATAGATGCCAAGAATATGACAACAAAATCACTAGTTTATCACAGAAGGCAAGCAAACTAGATCGAGTGAATGAGCCATCTTCAACAAGCAAGTTTGAAGAAAAGAAACAACAAGAAATAAAACGTCTAGAAACACTCAAGGTATTTATTGTATATGTTCATGTCGGTATGAGTGAGGGAGTGTCTATGTAGATTTGTTACCTTTTTGCTTGTGGGTATAATGTGAGTGGCTATAATGGCTGTCACCTGGGTTTAATGGGTGTGTATGGAACCAGCGGTGGCCCCAGAAATTTTTAACAGCTGATCCGACATGTCCGACAAGGAGTCCGAACCAAGGGGCTGACTAGACTAGAGCCTCTGGTCAAGGTCCTGGGATAAGCATCACTGATAGGGTTCACAGGAAGAGTTTTTATGGCTTAGTATGAACAAAATTGTGCATTTAGACCACAATACTAGGAATTTGCAATCAAAATAATGTTATTTGTATAGGCAATTTATTATTTTTGATTTCGCAACCTCATTGTGGCGTTTCACGGTGGAGGCTCAGGCCTATCTGACGGGGGAAATTCCTCCTGCGCCCAGATGACGACACCACTGTATGGAAATAATTTGTGTGGTCTGCTCAGTATGTGTGTGGGGCTCTGCCTATTTGGTGGGGGCTGTATAGATACAGTATATCTAGGTGGGCAGGCTGTATCTAGTATGTATGTAATCAATTGAAAATTATTGAATTCCATCATTTTCCAAATTTTAGGTACAGCTTGATAGAATTTCGTCAAAACTAGAACCGGATGAAATAGAGGAAGAGTATCTAAGGTAAGAAATCTCACAATTGTAGTTATCACCTGTAGATCTTATAAACCAGAGCTTCTATCACTTCACAAAAATCATCGTCTAGATGTATTCAATAGTTATCTGTTATAAAATACTGTATTATAAGTTAATAATAATGTGCAGTCTCTAGCATAAAAAAAAAATCACTGTCAGTGAGAACGGTTGTATGCCACCACCTTTAATGTAATAGTAATTTGTTATGACAACATGTGCTATGGCGTGCATTCAAAAGATCATTTCTGATATCATTACTGAGTTTCCAAATTGCAGATTTGGCATGACACGTTTAACTTTTGAATTCTTCATCATAGTGTCTACTGCCCTCAATAGTGCAGTAGGCACAATATTAAAGTTTTGGAGGATATTGGAAAATGATATGATTCTTTGATGTGGTCACGTAGTAGAATAGTATGCAGACTATAGTGGAATATCATTCACCACAATATAACGTAGTAAAAAGGAATTACATAACAGAAACTTTCCTTGCCGTATGGTGCAATTTTTTGTCTTTATTTTCTCGGTTTTGAATTAACATATATGAATATGCCACCATTTTAATTGTGACCATGTAACAAAAGACATTCCTGAATCTTTGTGAACTATAATTAGTAGAGTCTTCACATTTTTAATGATAGTCAATTTCAAGCTTAATTTGAAACTTTTTTATGATTATTTTTTGCCATACTTTTTATTCAAAACTATAGAAATTTTCAGTATTTTAAATTTATGCGCAACCAAACACACTGCACCAAAGTAGTGCTTTTTCCATATAATGTTTTGTTTTCACCATAATATAATTTTTTTTTGCCATGCCATAATAATGTTTACAGGGAAATGAGTCAAGAATTAGATGATAATTCACCAAAACATGAAGGAAAACAGAATAGAAAACAGAGTAAGTCTCTAGGTGAGGATGTTGGATCTGATTTATCAGATGACGATGAAATTGAAAATGATCAGGATGAGGAAGAAGAGGATGAGGAGGAGGATGATGATGAAGAGGGCGAAAGCGACACTCAAGAAACCAAAGAATCTAAAGAGGATGAAGCAGAACGCAAGGAAGACAGCAAAACTCCTACTACTAAACAATCTGGTGAAGGTAGATTCAGTCGATTATCGATCTTCAGAAGGTCATCAAAAAAGAAAGAAGTGCCACCTGCAGTTGATGAGCAAGGTGGTGGTACAGATAGTAAAAAGAATAAAAAAGAAAAAGAAAAAACAGAAAAAGAGAAAAAAGAGCCTGAGAAGAAGAAAGAAAAACAAGATAAGAAACTAAAAGAAGAGGGAAAAACTACCAAAAAGGCGAAATCATCTGGAAAAGAAAAGAAAAATTCACCAAAACCAAATGACTCAGTGGAAGTTGATGATGCATCCAAGGAAGAAGAGAGTGTTGAAAAGGAAAAACCTGAGAAAGAAACCAAAACTGGTTGGCGTTTGTTTGGCAAACAAGACAGGTGATAAAAACTTGGGTGCTTGTACGTGGTCTGTCAATGTTGCCTAACCCACTTCTAAATGGGTGCTTGCACTTGGTCTGGTAATATTGCCTAACACACTTCGCATCAATGTTTGCACTTTTGTATTCTACTTCACTGCTAATTAAAGGTTTTCAATCCAATTTTGTATGTGTATATATAAAGTCTTGTTGTTTTTAGATATAGTTTCAACAAATCTTGAATGAATTATTATTGTTAAATTATTGTTAATTAAATTATTAGAACTATTAATTTTACTAGTTTACTAGTGAACAATTATAATAGTTTGAAGAATGGTTGCAATATTACACCATAAATATCAACAAATATTTAGTACTGTAATATAGCCCCTGCATGCTATTTTAGTTACCTTGTTTTTAAGTATTTTTCGGTACTTGCTTCTTTGGTGTTTGTGTAATCTGTTTTTTTTTTGTTGTGTTGGTATAATCTGGTTTTCTTATTTCTTTATGTGGTGTTGGTTTAATCTGGTGTTGTGTTGTGTTGGTATAATCTGTTTTTTAAGATTTATAAAAAGCACTCAATTTGTAACTGTGCTAATTGCTTAAATGTATATGGCTTATCTAAGTGCACGTAGTTCAAATATGAATGCTAAAGGCCAATTCTTACTTAAGCCGCAGGCGCACTTGGATTAATTGAGCTGGTTAGTTTTACCATAAGCCAAGGTAAAACTGAGTCCTGAAATCAACTAATGGGGGCACTAAATTGTACATGTGTGGTTGCCCAACAGAGCGGTAAAGGTCATAAATTCAGTGACTCTGGAATGGGTTAACGTGCTGTTAGCACTAAGCTTTTTGTCTTGGTAAAACTAGCTCGGTTAGTTTTTTCTGGGTAAACGGGTAACCACGTAATCAGTAAGTTGCCTGAGAGGTAAGTTTCCTGGGTTGCTTGCACTGGACTTATTGAGGATAAACTAACCAGCGTGTCAGTTTTACCAAAATAAATCCTGTGCTATTGCGGCTTTAGTTAAAACAAAAATGTGCAATGAAATTTAATGCTATAATGTGAGGCTGCTAGTTCATCATGTCATAGCCAAGTTAAATTGTGGTACTGACATTAATACAACATTTTGCTATGTGCAATGAAGATTACTTTTTTACTGTATTTTATCAATCAAAAAAATATATAACCCATGCATGTTGCAGTAATTGTTAGCAGTATAGTATTTAAATATTAAACATAATTACAAGATAAATACAGAAAATAGAATAATAGTTTGGAGGGTTTACATGCATCAGCTATTTTCTTATACTGTAGTGGTGTTGTAGAAAATGGTGGCTCCAGAAATTTGCCGACAAGAGGTCCAACATGTCCAATGGGAGTCTGAACCAATGGGCCGACGAGAACCTGGTCCGAGTCCCGGAATAAAAAATCCCTGGTAGCGTTCACTGGGAGAGTATTTATGGCTTAGTATGGTCCAAATTGTGTTTTTAGACCACAATATTAGGGCGTGGCAGTCAAAATAGCATTTAATTTTGAAAGGTGAATTATATATTTTTAATTTTTGATCCGATAACCTTGTAGTAGTGTCGGACTAGAGGGGGGAGGGGGGCCAGACCTGTCCAATGACGGACAAATGCCCCCCCCCCACACATGGCGCCACCACTGTACAAATAGTGTTGTATCATCAAGAGGAAGAGTTTGTATAAACTGCCATAAAAGGATTTAATGTAGAGCCAACCAAAAATATTATTTTGTGTTTTGTGATATTTGAAGATTATTTTTTTGTTTTACATTTTCAGGAAAATGAAGCAAGAAAATACAGGGTCTACTTCAAAGAAAAAAGAGGAAAAGAAAAATGGAAAGGGAAAAAAAGTAGAAGAGGAGAAAAGCAGTAAACGAAAAGCTACTGATATACAAGGGAAGAAAACGGATGTGAAGAAAGGAAAAATTGCGGAAGTGGATGAGGACGAGGATGAATATGAAGATGAGGAAGATGAATATGAGGTGGGATTTTTTTGTTCAAATCTAACTTAATCCAATTTACATGTTGAGGAAACTGTTTGAGTTTACGTATCTTCTGATAATTGTTGACAGGATGAAGAGGACTATGACGAACTGGACGAGGAGGAAGTGACAGAAGATGAGGAAGAATATGAAGAAGAAAGGTAATTTGCATAAATCAAACAATGCATTATTTAATCAGTCATTCTACCAATCAACCAATCAGTTGACATATACTATATAGTACACCTTAAAATGATCAACCTAATCATAATCATTATCATCATCATAAGAATTATCTTAATTACTATCATCATCATTTCTCCTAGACGGAGACTTTATTGAACTAGAGGCCTCTGGCCCTTATACAAATGTAAAAACAATAATATTAACAATTAGTGCTGCAAATAGGTGTCTTCCTTTAAAAGCAAAGTATACATATTTTGATAATTGGTATCATAACCACCATCATTTAGGGATGTAGTGGGTGGGGGGGCCACCAAGGCTTGAATTTTTCACCCAGTATAAAGTTAATTTCATGGCCCTCCACCCACTTTTATTAACTCACTTGTCCATTCTTAAAATCTACTCTTAGAGTTTACCAATGTTATCACCCATCCACCTGTGGTTTTCTAGAGCATTATAATTATAATTGTTATCATCTTCATTTTTATTAGCAATGGTCTGGGTCTGCAGCTGGTAGAAAAGCAGTGATTCTATTTAATAATGATATTAATGATAACATGATTTTGATTTGTTCAGATGGATCTGTTTGAAGCTGTATGTGATTACAATGCTGAGCAGGATGGAGACCTGAGTTTCAAAGTTGGAGACATCTTGACAATTATCAATACAAGGTGATAGCATTGATTACTATCTGATTTATTTTATAATGTATCATATATTTATTTAGTTGAACCATCAGCAAACTGTGATTTGCGAAAATATTTTGATGGGGTCACAAACTTCACAGAAATCATCAAAAATTAGCTTGCTTTAGTCAGTCACTCTCATTATATTAGCATTAATATACATGAAAACTAATGTTATTTTGTAATAATTTTCATTGTAATTTTTACCTTATAATGTAAGATTATATTAATAATTAATTAAAGATTATGACATATTTGGGTAAAAAACGTTGCATAAGATCAAGATGACTAATGCATTTGTGCATTAGGGGTCAGTGGTTTGGAACTAAATATTGAACTTTCAAACTGGGTCATCAGTCTAAAAGTTTGCAGAATGCTGTCTTGAATTTATCTATGTACTTAATGCTGATAAGCCATCCATCTTGCAATTGCAATTTCATGTTTGATTACATAACAAAGTATTTTCTTATCTCTATTTTAAATGTTGTAGGGAGGATGGGTGGTGGACTGCTGAAGATGAAGAGGGCAACAAGGGCCTTGTTCCCAGTACATACCTTAAGGTAAAGTAAAGTGAGCTTGCCTGCCTTCTGTTCAGGTGGGTATGATTGTGTGTGTGGTGGTGGAGGGGGAGGTGCGGCAAGATTGTGAGCTGGGTTATGGAGTGGGGAAATATTAATATGTTTAATAGGAAATTGAATTGGTATATTCCTTATGATGATCGATAATCTTGTAATTACAAGCAATCAGTTGTTTAATATGTTATCATATAATTTTATTAATAAATTTATCTGTATGAATACTATGGCCATTTAATCGTCTTAAATTGCATGTTTTATATTATTGCCCCCACCTCTTAGTTGCATTGCACCATGTATCAGATGGTCATCTCTTTTTTAATCCCCAATTATCTTTGTTAAGCTGCTTGATTTTTATAGTTTTTGATTGTTTTTAAAATACGATAATCTTGTTCAGTATGAGTTTATTAATATTTATATATTTATTGTTATGTTACTTTGGGAGTAAGGAATCTTAACTTTTTGTTTTGGTTCCTGCCTATTCCCTGAGTTGACTGTTTTTGTGTTTGTTTATGTTTTTGTTTTTGGCAATAAAAGAATAAAAATGAGAATTACATCTATCAGTAGTTTGAATAGAATATTTTCACATTAATGTATCAGAAAGAAAATTAAAATCATCTTAAAAACTCTTTTATGCAGATGAAGAAAGAACCAGAAGATTATAGGAACATCCAGTCACCAGAAGGTGAGATTTCACTCAACCATTCCACCTGATAGTCACAGTGGCTTACTTACAAATCTTACTGACTGTACATTTCCTACTAAAATATTACCCTAATATTATCTATACCAAATAGTTTAATATTATATTTATATTTGTTCTTACTTTTATATTTTGAATAGCATATTAATAAATGGTTTATTTATATTTAATGAAATTAACGTTTTTAGTCTTAGGGTATGATATTGAAACATCTATGCCCCGGGGCCCCCTACTTTTTTGAAAATCAAAAAATGAAAATAGAAAAGTAAATTCAAAGTTAAGTTTGTTGTTAGTACCAGTTCTGGCAGTCCAAAAGTCCCAGAGACCATATTTCCCCATTCATCATTCATAGACATAGAATTACCGTAAGGTCTGTCTCTTATACACATCTAGATGTGTATAAGAGACAGTGGGTGTGGGGCTGAGGTAGTCTGGACCTTTCTTCTGCAAAAATGCCTACCCTGTGTTCCCTCTATTTTGAATTCCTGAAATTGCCAGTAATAAAATTGGATTTGAATCGCACCATATGGTGCATGAAAGATGACCGATGCCAGCATCATTTCAATGGCTAATAGATGATTAATCTTCCAAGAAATTTGGTGAATTTGTTGTGTTTTGTGCCTAAAATACTGTCGCACTATTTTCAGACGCTCCTGAAACAGAACTATCTCGCAGGTAAATTTGAGATTTCCATAATCATAATCATTAAAATTTCCCAGTTTTGGAGGCATTTATAAGTTTGATATCCAACAAATAATTCTACAAATTGACTGAAATATTTTTTATTCTTGTAAAATAACTGATTTTGATATCACTTGAGAGGTAATAAAATTTATATAAATTTAATAAAACATGTACAATTTTCAAAACCAATATCGATTTCCTTTTCCATCTTGCCTATAAATGTAGCTTTTCTTGATGTCTGTTCCATGAATACTTACCAAGATAAACCGACTAATAAACTAAAATAACACACCCATGACAAAAATAGAACCAACCTATTGTATTAAAACTTGTTTTAAATACTTTTCATTCATTCATCTTGAATCTTGAAAGAACATGGAATATATGCATCATTTCTCTAATGACTGGAGATCAAACATACTTATACCTCCAAAATTTGGACTACTAAATTACTACTGTTTTAAGATTCAGTCTTTAATGACTTGCTTTTCTATCCCCTCCTCTATTACTATCTCTATGGAACATTGAAGATGATCCTTCTGATCCTGGGTAGTGTAAACATTTATATCTGAAATCATGATCTCATTGTTGCATGCTTTTCCTCATTGTAATAATTTCTCCTGCTGTCTTGCAAATTAGCATATCTGGTATTATTGACTGGGGGATCTGAAAGGGGTGTGTGATGTATAGTGAAGGGTGCTATCTGAAAGAATGAGGTGATATGTGATAATTTTAAAATAATTGAGTGTAATTTTGTTGCCTAATGGTGGTGCCTATGGGCTCAAGTCTTTTCTGAATGGGCAGAGACATGCTTCCCTTTCTCTGAGATTCACTACCAGCCACTGGGTCTTTCTTAATTTTTCAGTCCAATACGCTCACATAATTATTAGTTACGTGACCAAATATAGTGCAGTAGTATTATGCAGTGGTTTCAATACAATTGCTACACGCTATTGCTAACAGCTTTCGGTGATGCTTATTGGTCGGTTGAATCGGGAAGCCTTCCCGATTGCGTTGGGGAAGGCTACGCTGTAAACACTCGCACTCAAAACACTAGCGATTTTAAGGAAACTAGGCTTTAACATCTATCCACTCCCGCCATCAGTGTACTAATTTTTCAGTCTCTACACAGTACGCCCTTCTCCCAATCTCTATGACCACCTCTTGTTTTGCAACATTCTACAATATTTGGTAACCCTTGCATACTCCCTTTTCCCGGACTCCACTACAATCACTTCATTCCTAATCAAGTTAACATGTTAATTGCTGTGTCTAAACAAGATTGTAAATACTGCTATTTTGTATGGGATAGCGTTTTTTACCAGGTTCTCACAGCGTGTATCTTGTCTAGTGTGTGTATTAACAGATAATGTCCCTTGATGGCATATTGTAGCCAATAAAATTGATTGCTATATTTGTATGTGTTCCAGTACTGCAAGTCATACATGTTCACATGATTGTCACATGATCCAGTACTGCAACTCATACATGTTCACATGATTGTCACATGATCCAGTACTACCGGTCATACTTGTTCACATGATTGTCACATGATCCCCTAAAGTTGCATGTTTGAGAACCTTAACAAAAATCAGCTTTAAATTAATGGCAAGCTATAATTGCCTACACTGGATGGCTGGCTTGTATGGCTTGTATAGGTGAAATTATACCCTACTTATGTTTGCTGGCTAATATGAAAGTATGCTCCAATGCTTTGCCGATCTGCTCTGCTTTACTCTACGAACTGAGAAGGCTAGAAAAATTATAAAGATATTTTACAGTATAAAAAAAAATTAAAAATAATACTAGCAGTAATTACGATGAATAGGAATTGGATCACAATATCAATTCTGTAGACAAATGCTTCATGAGCTTTTCTTAAGAAATCTCACACATTTTGAATATTGTTGTGATATAAATATTTAATTTAATGTCATCCAACCTTTATGTAAGTTTCATTAGTTTTGTATGCGTAAAATGTATTCTAATGAAAATATAGTTATGTTTTATTTTTTTTTCTTTCATTTCAATAGTGGAAAAGTGCTGTGGAAAGGTCTTAGAAAGGCAGTTAGGGAGGTAATCTATTTCCTATCGGTATCATTTTTCTTAGTTAATGAAGAACTAAATTTATCCGTCATTTTATTGAAAAAAAAAAGAAATTTAAAATAGCATGCCATGAGTAGACTTTAAGTATAAGTCTACTGTTGGAAACCTACCAATATCTGTCAATGAGTAAATCTAGGCACTCACCGAATCTGATGGTCAATGGCAGGTGTGATTCAGTGGAGCATGAAACACCACAATGCGGGTGGCGCAGTGTGTAAGGTGTTGAACTTTTGATCGAGAGATTAGAGATGGGCAGAAAAAAAATAACAGAAGATGAAATAAAAATACAAATTTATTGTTGAATGTAAACAGTGAAGTAATGGGATGGTTAATGCTTTAAATTTATATAAATAGGAAGAAATATACATATCTTATTTTTTTGGAGATTATGCCAGGCATAATAAAAATAAAAAACAAAACTTGTTTTTTTCTGAAATATCCGGTTTTTCGCGGTAGTGGGTTTTTATTCCGAATTATAAATATTGGAGGGTGGCGGTTTCACCAAACAAGGTATAGGAGAAGTCTCGCCCTGTGCAATACCTTTATAAAATAGATATGTGTTCCAATGAAAAAAATTCCAAAGGTGTATACCACTTCATAGCTCAGTTGGTAGAGTACCCAACCAGTAATTTGCAAGGACTTGTGTTAAAATACTGATGGGAACAATACATTTTTCTCAAAACTTTATTATCATCTTTGTATGGTGGGTTCATCTGTAGGTCCTTTGTTAGTAATATCTCTATGCATAAAAAGAAAAATGTGTTACACTACTTAAAAAAAAGGGAATGTCAATATCAGTGCCATTCTGCCCTTTGGAGATTTTAACATATGATTTTTTTTTTCTCTAAGACAAGCGCAACTGATGTTCTATCAGCTATGGGTGCCATCCCATCTGGTTTCCGTCCCTCAACTACCGCCAAACTTCTTAAAGAAGGTAAACACTTTGCTTTATTAATTAATTTGTAAGTATACTGTATAACTTGTTGTTAATGTTTATATAAAAACATAGTTTGCAGTGTTAAAGGACTAATTTTACAGAGTGCTCTACTGTATGTGTATGACTAAATAAAGCCTGCTTCTTTTGTAGATCAGTACAGTCTACAATATTGTCTCACGCCTAAACTCAGCAAATCTAACCTATCCTTCAAAGACCTATTTTGGGATCCAGCTGCAAATGAGGTAAGATTGGGCCTTTCCAGATTGTCAATCAAACTTAACTGACCAATCAGAACAAGCGCACATATTGTCCCACATGTGTGTGTTTTACACAGGTACACTGTCGTTTTGTGGCATCTTTTGCAACAATATTCAATGGGCTGGGCTTGGTGCACAGGTCCTTTATTTATACCATTGACTTTCATAATTCATATTTTCATAGTATCATTGGGCATATTCGACTGGTTATTTTCGTTGACTACGATTTTTTTGTTGAGTATTAATTTCATTTGACTGGTTCGTAAATATACTTCGTTGACAATGAAAATTAACGTAAACCAGAGTGCGTTAATCAGCGTTAAGTTATCCATGTGACCAAAACAAATATGGCCGATTGGTGAGTTTAGAAACAACACTTGCGTTAATATAACTTTAGATTAAACTTCAGAAAATAAAAATTATAATATTTACCCACATGAAGTCAAAAAATAATTGTAGGCTAACAGAATTCAAAAACTGGATGAAAATTTTTTTTTACATAAAACCCATACTGCCACAAGTCCAAGCAATCTTGATTACGCAGTGTGTATCGTGGTAACTATGCAGCCATTTTAATTTGTCAAGTATTTACGAGTTTTCCCTATTTCGACTGGTCGTCTTCGTTAAAGTAGGATTTTACCACTGCACATGTTGGTGTGGTTTAACGAAGAACGATCATTCGAATACTTCCATTGTGTTTATCGGCACGTAAACAGTGGACTGGATCTGGATAGTTAATAGTAAAACTCATTTTGGAGCATCACACCGATTGGGTCAGAGTCACAGTATCTTGAGTTGCCAAGAAAGGGAAAAATGATGTACATAATTGGGAATGAAAACCATCAAAATGCATGCAAAAAAAAAAAAACAAATCACACCATGGACTATTTGTACCATGGAATATTCATAGCTCATAATCATCATACTGTTGGCTATTGTACCATGGCATAGTATCACGGCATAGTGCCACAAATTCTTAGTACCAGGGACTATGATGCCATGACTATTTATACCAAATGATAAGTACCACAGAATACCAATCATGCGAGTACCACAAAATCTTAATACCATGGACTATCATGCCATTTCTGTTTGTACCAAATGACCTACTGTAAGTACCATGGAATATCAACCATGACAGTCCCACAAAATCTTAGTACCATGGACTATCATGTCATGGCTATTTGTACCAAAGGGTTTAAGTATTGTATCATATAATACCATACTGTGGCAATGTACCACAAAATCTTAGTACCATATACTCTCATACCATGACTATAAAGTCCAGCAGTTTAGGCAAAATTTTGGCTCAATTGTGCACTTTTTGATAAAAGATAAAATTTGGCACTCATGTACTATGAACTATAGCGAATATTTTCATGTAGGGACAGACATCAACAGCATCCTCTGTTGACCAGAAATGGTAAATTTCTATTTTTAGCCATTTTCATTGTAAGATTGTGCTTTAAATCAACTAGGAGTCATTGTCATGTTAAGATCAAGGAGGCCCTCTACATTAGTTGGGAACAACCTAATTTAAACAAGGAGGTGGCACATTGTAAAATTACTTTAACTCTTTAATAGCCTCATTCATTCCAGTGGCGGATCCAGGAATTGGTAATAATAATAATAATACTTTATTTGAAAAACTACGCCTTTCCATCGGCGGCACATATCACACGTAGCAAATGGCGGTGCGTTCATAAAGAAAAAACATTTAAAAAAGCAGTGTAGACAGAAACACAACAATGTACAATACGGTGACTCAAGATGAACAATAACATTTTTTAAAAGTACTCTTTAGTCAAACACTGTTTCTTTTTATAATAAAAACGAAGTAAGTGACAATTTCATTCATATATGAATATTCATCAAAAATTGGGTTTTACAATATAATAATATCTTTTCTCTGTTGCCATGCTATTTTTAAATACGAGATAGAAAGATTGTTCATAAATTTGGTAGTTTCCAAGAAGTATGTCCATTTTAGTGTTACACTCTCCACTCATGAATAAGTGCCATAAATATTAATCAGAATTTGACGTGATTTTCTTTTCCGCGGCGATATATTCATCAGATCTTATTTTGTAAAGTGTTCTACATGTTTATGTTAACATGTAAAGTGTTCTACATGTTAACATAAAATGTATGATATCCTCCTCATTTTCATGGCAAAGAGGGCAGTATATATCAACAGTAGAATCATATTTACATACTATGGCATTAAGTTGGTATTAAGAGGGTATTGGATCTTGCTTTAAACTTTAAACTGCTTCCGTAGAAATCAGTTTCATTTTTTAAATAATCATCCATTTTGGGGAATTCCTTAATTCTAATATAATAAATAAGGGATGATTTGTTAACTGCATTACTAAACCATTTGACATTACTCAACTCGATGTTTCTATGTTTATAATAGAAGGGGCCCAGAGAGGGACTTTCACAGATGAAGTGTCTTTACTACCTCAGCCCCACTATGGGAGGAGCAGAGGGAAGAAAATGAGGCATGTCATGGCAAAATGGTTAAGTTGTCGCACAGGCCAGTATTGAGTAAATGAGCTATCAAATATGGGAGCTCAAAAAATTGCCTAAAAATCCAAATTTGTTTTTCATTATGGATCAAAAGTTTAATGTCTTATTAATCATGTACCAAAGTATTAGTTCTGGAAGTGGTTAACAAATTGTTTATTTAATGTTATTTTGATAGCTCATTCTATTAAATAACGTATACACAAATAACTTTGAAAGGCAATTACTCAAAATCATGTTTATCTTGACTCTAAGAGTACTGTACTTTCACTTTCCAATAACTTAGGCTTGAAATGTCCAATTTCAATGAATGACCCCTCATTTTAAAGATCACATACTCAGGTATATGAAAATACCAACAACTTGAATTTCAATTTTTGCTACAACTTGGCCATTTTGCCACAACCTGCCTCAAATTGTCATTATGGCACCTCAAGATTCCGGAAATGCATTCTTAGACTCAAAATTTGAGTAGAAAAAAAAATCTTGACAAATTTAGGGGAACGCGGGCTGGCTAGGCTTCCCCCTGAACCACCACTGCATTCTGTCTTCCCACTGGTCCAAATTGATTCACCTTATTCTTTCATTACTCCCTTGCTATATATAAGCTTAATGTTCAGTATATGTAACTCACACATGATAATGATCAAAACATGTCATGGTATAAACTTGTGACAATATACTGTAGTATGAAGATTTTTATCTTTTAAGGATTTTGACTTTGATACAATGCACTTTCAAAATTTGTTTAAAATTACTTCCTTTAAATTCTTAGAAACTGGTTTAGTTTACGTGTTTCTGTTCCTGTTTGCTTTTAATTAAGAGTGATATGACTTGGATTTGGTTTTATATGTATACATTCAGTTACGTTATGATGTAGTTGTTTTACTTTATTTATTTTACTTTCGAAAACTGTTACAGATTCGTGCGAGGAATATGAAAATGCAGAAGGTTGTAGTACTGACTGGTGTAAGAAACATTCCAAAAGTTGGCGTTGGTAAGAATTATATAAACAAAATATAATCAAAACATGTATCTTTACGATAATATAACAGTGTGAATTTGTATTGTTCAAAAATTTGCCAAAAACCATTCACACAGCTTGTAGGCCTCAAGCAACTACTAAAAAAAACACCCCAAAAACATTAATACTTACTATACATAGCAATGATAAGAAATTTCTAAAGATTTAATTTATGGAATAATTGATTGATTGATTGATTAATTGAATTGTTGATTGATGGATTAATTAATTAGATAATTGATTGAATGATTGAATGATTGATCTAATCAATTAATCTATCCGATCAAGTTTATGGCAACATAAGTAATTTCTAAAGAATTAAGTAATAAGTATAATGAATTGATATTAATCCGGTCAATTTATGAATCCGATCAATTTAGAGATCTGATCGATTTTATAGCAAAATGATAAAGTAATTTCTAAAGAATTAAATAATTGTTTTTAGTTGATTTTATTATTTGAATGATTGATTGACTGAATAATTGATTGATTGTTTAATTAAATAATTTATTAATTAATTGAATAATTTATTAATTGATTAATCAGATCAATCTATGGATCCAATCAATTTATAGATATGATCGATTTTATGGTATTGAAAATTGATTCTACCAGAGCCTACACCTGTAACAAAACACTGTATTTCCTTCATCATACATTGAGATGAACAATTTATGTATTAATAATAGCAAAACCAGATAAATCACACTTTTATTTTTGTCTTGATGTTTGTGATGTATTTCATTTCATTTATTCGTCACATGTCAAAAAATATGTAAATAAAATCAAATTATAATGAGACTCAGGCTTGCCAAAAAGAGTTTGAAGATCGTTGTCGAGTCGGTCACCAACATTTACAAGCACAATTAAAATTAGCAATAGAATATATATAAACATTAAATTTCATACAATATAAATATACTATACATTAACTATTATGATAATAATGATGATAATAATTGATAAAAGATTCTTTTTTAAAAATATTTTAGGTTAAAATATACATTTCATGAAAGGTAGTACACAATAATAATAAGGATAATAATAACAACCAAACATGCCAAGACTGCGCACAAAGATTCAAATCTCCCGAAAAATGTTCTTTTAGTTTATTTTAAAAAGTACCAATTCCAAACAAAAGCAGTTTTGTATTATTTTACTTCTTCTTTACGAGCCTTTTCCTCCTCAAATATATGAAATTAAATGAAATTGATAATTTTATACATGAATAAATAGACAGATAAACTTTATTGTCATGAACACATACGATATCATGGGCCTAGTTGTAAAAATAAGGATTTCCTGCATTTGTTTTTCTTGCACTTTAATAGATGGAATCTACCCAATTGAGGGAGTGTAATGTACTATTACTCAACATAATTTAAGAAAAAAACTGAAACATAAAAAGAAGAAAGGTGAATATGAAGAGGTGAATAAAATAAAAGGGTTTAGAATTAATAATAATAATAATAATTATAATAATTATAATAAGAATAAGTAATAATAATGTTATATAAAATATAATAATAATAATAACATTGTTATTATTTCAAACAATAATAATAATGATAGATCATAAAAAGCTCATACAATATCATATGCCGAGTTCTGAAAAATGAATTTCCTGTATTAGTTTGACTTGCACATTTAAAGACGGAACTTACCCAATTGATTGAGAGTGTAATGCACTATTAACATAATTTAAAATTGTTCTAACTTGCTTTACTGAGGCATGAAAAATTGGGAAAGGAAGAATGTAAATAAATGAATGGATTAATTAATAATAATATGATTAGTGCAATGGTTATGGCTCGGACTTAACTCTGAGGTTGGGTTTTGAAAGTTGCTTGTGTCCTTTAGGCAAAACACTATCTCTAAATTTTTTTCTCCCTCTACCCAGGAAGGAGCATAAGGGGATATTGGCTGTGCAGGAGGATGGCAAACGCTCCACAGCCTTCCACAGTCTGGCCCAAATGCCTAGGAAAGTGATGAGCACTCCGGCCTGTGACCCCTGAGCTTCAAGTTTCGACCTTTACCTACTTATTTATAATAGCACATATTGCAATAGACTTTCTCTATGCACTTTACATTATTATCTCCGGTCACTGACACAATCACTTAGGGAACACATACTCAGTTCTCTTATGATCACCATTCTATAAGAAGCTGGAATTTGCATTTGGTATTGTATATTTGGCTTGGTACATGTACCCTCATATAACCCTGGGTGGGGAGAGACAGTGTGGATAAATTGTGCCCTGCCCACAAACATAAGTGGAACCCACAGCGAGTGACTGGAAACCCTTACCTTAAGGTTTAAAGCATCAATTGCCACTCCTACACCAGTCATGCCACTCTCCACCAATAGTTATTTTTGTAGCTTTTAATGTTGCATATTACTTAAAGGAGTAGGTTTGTGCAATCAATCACTTAATTTATCAACCCATCAATTAATTAATCAATCAATCAAGCAATCAATATTAATCAATACTGTCAGTCAATCAATCAATCAGTCAGAAGTTGTACTATATTTGAAAAGCTCCACTTTCTGGACTATATTATTATTTATAATATAATATAAGATATTGCCAACTAAATATTGTGCTATATAAAATGTTTGTAATTTTGTTTGCTTAAAGGAGTAGAAGTGAAGAGCAGACATGTTAGACTGTGCTTATTCAATGGTGAAAAGGTTTGTGTATAACATTATTTGATTCTAGATATTAAAATACCATAAACTATAGGCCTCCATGCAGTATGATGGGTGGATTCAAGGGTGGGGGAGGTGCCTTGCTGACCTGCCTCCTCTAACTTTTAAAATTTTTTTTATAAAGTGGAGAAAGACCGTAACGTTTAAATTCTGAGTGTGAGTATGCCATTTCCGTCAATCTAGAGGTACCATTCAGGGGCGGATATCCCCCGTGCCCCCCTACTGGTTCCGCCCCTGCCATTCATAAATTTTCTTACCTCATCTCCAACCGTGGAGGAGCTAAGTGTTTAGAAAAAAAGTCAGATACACAAAAGCTTGATATAAATATTTAAAATATTAAGTAAAGTGATACTTTTGCTTTAGTTATTGTTTATGATGAAAGACTACTACAGCTCACATTATTGATACTAAACTAATGATTCCGGGATATATAAACAAGAAGAAAGAAAAAGATAATACTATTGCTTCACTTATTGTTTATAATGAAAGACTACTTCAGCTCACATTATTGATACTAAACTAATGATTCCGGGATATAAACAAGAAGAAAGTTAATATACTGCATTAACAATAATTAAATAAGTGAAAACAAATTACACATTAAAAAGTACAAAATTAGAAAAGAAAAACATGACTTCAAATTAAAAGTACATCATTTTTTTTTATTACTTTAAAGAAGATTTTTAGAAGTCTAAAGAAGATGCTACTGTACTCATTTTATTTGTATTTTATGCTATAGACTAATACGGCTCTTACTTTTATTATTTTATAATTTTTTTAAAAGCACATCAAGAAAAACTAAAAGGAAGAAAGAGAAAGAGGATTCATGATTAAAAATACAAACATCCTATTACACGAAAATATACACTAGGCTACTTCCTGTTGTCTAGACCATCTTGTGAAAGTCCCTCATTGGTCTGCTCTACTTCGAATTCCTTTTTATCTGCAACCAAGTACAAACCCCTATTTTGTTTGTATAAAAATTATATTATACAGTAGAACCCCTATAAGGGTACCTTCTGATTTGGGTGGCTGTTGTGTTGAAAGATATATTTTCTCAAAAAAAAGCATGTCCCCTTAACAAAGGTGTTCCAAATACTTATGTTATTAACTACTTGTGGTATATTTTCAACAAAAGTGGTATTAGTTTAAAGATAATATCATATATATGATGACAAAATCTGCGAAAGGATTAAAACTTGGATCGCTTCCTTGTAATGCAATTGAATGCCAACTACTAGGCTACTGGGGCTTTGGTATGATTCTTACTTTTGTATGTTTTAACCACAATTGATTGCAGCCCCCTCCCCCTCCCACTGGATTCATATCTTAAAAGTTTGCGCTTGACGGAAATGACCTATAAATATTGCCCCAGCTGGATTTCAAACTCAGATCTTCTTTTATATGTGCAGAATTTTAAAAAGAATCAAAATAAATATATTACTATTTATGTATTGTTAGGTACTCAGCAATATTCATACAGTGCAAGCAACATGGACTGAAGTTGATGATAAATCTTGGAGGTTCTCTCCAAAGGTAAATGATGAACACTGTCGTAATGGATATTATGTGATGGTCTTACACATTTTTTATTGTAGTGTCAACCAATTTATGTGCGTTATTATTACATTTATTTAAAATTTATTTCATTTTTTTGTCTATTATGATTCTTGTATTATTTTTATTGAATTCATTATTATTCTTAGTATTTTTTTATATAATCAATTTACATTTTACATTACGATAATTTGTTGTATTTTAAATTATATTCACATCCTGTTATTGGTGTTTTACACTGTTGGATGTAATAAAAAATTACTAAAAAAAAAAAAAAAAGTAATTAACTTGGCATAAGGTGATGCTTATGAGTTATATTATTTTTATGTTAATTATATTATTGTATAATGCCTTGAAATATTGTGCTGTGTATGACAAATCTATGTTATTAGGATTATTGTTATTAAGGTTATTAAAATTATTGTTCTTAATATTTTTTACTATTTTGACTATTATTATGATCCTTGTTTTATTATAGTTATCAATATTATTAACATCATTATTAATTGATGCCATAGTATAACATACTACAAGTATATATATATATATATATAGATAGCTAAAATTATTTTAATTGTTTTTTTTATTAGTGTTATTATATTTGAAATTCAACACTGAAATGATAATATTGAGATTCTTAAATATTAATAATAACATTGCATGTTTTATCTGCAGCATAAATTATCATTTTTTTTTTCACATGCTTAAGGTTACAGGAGTTCTACCAAGTATTCTAGATGGAGATTGCTTCCTTAGAACAAATAGTACTGATGAAAATTTAGGTAAGACATAAGGATTAATGTACCGTAATTAAGAAAAATTGGGCTCCTCTATTATTATTACCCTGTCTGTGTCTGTGCGAAGCTGCTAGCGCAATGCCGACAAACGCCGGAAAATAATTACAGTAGTAGTAGTAGTTGTAGTTACATTACCAGATGTGCTAAGTTGCAAGATCTGGTTAATGACCTTTTCTGATTTTATTTTGCTGGGTATGGTGATACAATTAATTGATAGTAAAGTAGTATAAACATTGGAGACTGGTTATTTTCCAGGAGACCTTGCTTGCGGGAGGCTATCCTAATTTCATTACTGTAAATATTCAAAATGAGTGATGTTTTCGAGTGAAAGATGCACCAACCATGATTTTTGCACCTCTCTTTAATAATCTCTGCAGTGCTTATTATGAGACATATACTATTTGTGACATTATTTTCAGGTTTACTGATAGAGTTATGCCTGTACTATGTCAGAACAGTAAGTTTAATTTTTACATTTTTATTGACTTCCTTGGTTCAGGCTTTACTTGTACCACAGTTATCTGTAGTGGATTTATTATTTCATGTTTTCTGTATTGTTTAGTACACCGTTCCGCAACCTATGGGTTGTGACCCAATGTTTGAGTTGAGAAAAAAAAATTGATGGGTCGCCTAAAAAACGAATGAAGACAAACAAAATTAAACTACAGTAAACGAAAGTACAATTTAAGTGTGGCAAGTGCGTCAGTTTACTTTGGTTATGCGTGCGTTATCACAGTTTCATGTTTAAAATACACTATCAAAACATTTGTACTTCAGGTATGACAACTTTAAAGTATTAGTTTTGTTCATTTTAATGTGTTAGGCTTTCAGCTGCAAATTATGATGAGAAAACATTTTTAAATTTAATGTGTCTCTGTCTTCGCATAACACATAAATCTCTGGCAGCACTAGGAATTTATAATAAAATGTCAGTTAATCATTAATTTAAAAAAAATTCTAACTTACTGAAAAATTTGATAACTTGTGTGATTTTGTTAAATGGATACTTCAAAGTTATATTTTTCCTTTTTATGGGTTTAACATAGTGATTTTGTGGGTAATAATATCTTTTAATCAATTTACAAAAGAACCAAGTGGGTGGTACTTCCCGCTATAAAACGACGGATGTTTTATTGACTTTCGGTTCAATGGGTCGCGTCTGAGTGCTTGACATATAATTTGGGTCGTGGGCTAAAATGGTTGCGGAACGGGAATTTAGTATATTGTTTTTTGTATTGTATTCTTATATCTTTAAGTGCCAGTGACAAATAATATTTTTTTACAGGCACTATACAAATTTCCCAATTTATTTATTTATTTAGTACAAGGTATCATTAATTAAAACAAATATAATAGATGACAGAAAAAAAACAAACCCAAGTATGTGAAGTTTATGAATATAATCTTTGTACATGTCAAGTTTATGTTTTTGGAATTGGATTTTTTTTTGTGGCTACACAAAGTCTGACTACAAATAATGACTTCGGCAGTACACCTATCGACGACTCTTTTGTTATTGTTTTTCTAAAGAGCGTGCTGCTCTTTTTGATGTGCACATTGGCCATATTACACACCTGACAGCTTAAAACATGTCATCTTATAAATTGTGCGCTATTGTAAATTGCTGAAAACCAAGCAGAAGAATTATGTAACTAAAGATCTGGAAGAATCTCCACAGTGGCTACCATCAATTTTGCTGATTTAAAAAAATAATTTTTTAAAAAATTTCATCAAATTAAAAAAAAAAAAAATTATCATTTTACTGTATTACTTTTTTTACATTCATTTATTGACTAGAAATTATATGTCTGATCACTGAATCTTCATCTGCCAAGTATTAATTCTTTCTTGTTTTTTTATTTAGGCATTTATAATTTCACCTGTACTCATACTTCATTTGTGTATTAACGCTTTTTTAATTACTTTTTTTAATCAGAAAGTCTATGCTTAAACTTTTGTAACTTATATAGGCCTCCATATTTTTTCCCTATGTTTTACCATTAACTCTTGTGCCATATATATTTTAATTAAGTTTGAAAAAATTAATAAACTGATTCCGAGCTGATGCTAAAACTGACTGAGCTAAGCTACTTTCTATTGAAATGTGATCTGTATATACTTTGTGCATCATATTTTGAGTCCTAAAATATGTGATCTGAAGTTGCAAATTTTATTGCTTTTCCACAGAAAACAGGTGAGAAAGGTGAATTCAGCTGTGGGTGGGTCAACCTACCACTGTTTGACCCGACAACCGGAGCGCCTATACTTAATAAGTAAGTCTTATGCTAAAAAAAAGACTGAAATTCATTATTAGATCTTTATATGTTAAATATTGCCCATGAATCCCAATGGTTGTTGAAAATGTTTCAAGCAATGTTCAAATATTGTCATCTGCATTTTACAAGTACTGTATTATTTTACAGTTGTTGATTTTTTTGGTCGTAAGTAGTATAGTAGTTTGGACGGCAGGAAAGATTTGGGTTGGGGTTTCAATATCTCAGTGTGCATTTCGCTTGTGTCCTTAAGCAAGGGACTTATTATTATTATTATTATTGTTATTACTATTATTATAATTGTTATTATTATTATTATAATTGTTATTGTTATTATTATTAATAATATTATTATTATTATTGTTATTATTATTGTTATTGTTATAATTGTTATTGTTATTATTATTATTATTATTATTATGATTGTTATTAATATTATGATGATTATTAATATTATTATTATTGTTATTATTATTATTATTATTATTATTATTATTATTATTATTATGATTATTAATATTATTTCCCGAAGTATAAAATTTCACTGACATTTCTATAATCATCACAATCGATTTAGATGGTCCTGATGTTGATGAATACCTGAATTCTGGAACTAATCTTCAATAACTGTTAATTAAACTACAAATATAATTTAGGTCAACCTGTACTTTAAGCCAATTGTCTACTACATCAAATTTGTGTGATGTGCCCAAATATGGACATATCACACTTTTGTCACATAAAATTTGATAGTGTGGGCAGCTTTCCAATGTATGGTTTAAATGGTTTTAATAACCTTTGATATAGGTATGCAAAGTTGAAACTACAAGAGGGCAATATTGGAAATGAAAGCTAATTTTTGAACCATTAGTATTCATATCTTAACTTCATATTAATATAATTATTATTTTTTCAGTTTCTGTTTGCTTTTTATTTATATGAAAGTGCATGATCAAATGACAAGCTTCCTTGTTTTTCTTTTTATTTTTTAGTTAAATGTTTCTTTGAAAGTTTGTTTTGGAAGTTTTAGATGAATAAAAAAAAATATAATTTTTCAACATTCATTTTAAATTATAATTTTAAACTCAAACTTCAGGAATAGTAAGATTAAAAGTTATACTTTATTTATTACACAAAAACCCAATTCACACAAAATTCACGTTCTACACCCCATTCTGGTTATGGAGGCTTGTTTCTCAATAGTGAGGTGCGAGTTCACAGCCTTTTTGTGAACTTGGGTCACATATTTTGTGACAAATGTATGTGATATGCCCATATATGGGCATGATGATGTCATATTAAACCCAAATATGGGCATATCAGTTATTTCTCACTTGAAATTTGATAGTGTGGATAAAAATCTAAAAATACTGTAGCCAGTGGAAGTCTAAATAGGAGCTGTGCTTAGTCTACTTAATAGTTTACAGTATTTGATATATGTATACAGTACAGTATTTTATTATGTGCTCAAGTAGGAACATGCTATAATCGTATCAAGAAACGAAAAGTAGGAAGAAATTTAGGAATAACTTCATTTAAATTTTGACCTTGATATCATCATCATTACTGTCATCATTGCTCTCATCGTTGTAATAAGATGGTTTTAAATTCTAATTATAATTTAATTATTGTTATTTCATTTAATCATCATCATCATTGTCAACATTGCCATCATTGCTATAATAGCATGGTTTATATATTCTAATGGTATTATTATTGTTTTTATTAATGTTGTTTTTGTTATAATTTTCATTATCTATTATGTTCATTATGCCAAATTATGGATCCAGAGACCAAGAATAATAATAAGAAATACTGCAAACCTAGTGCATTCCTAGCAAAAGGCGCAGTATGAATCCCCATTTTTTTTCATATATTTTTTTACAGTAATTTTTTTTTTTTTAATAGAAATTATGAACTTGATGTTAAAGGCGGAACACCCTATGAACAGGACGTAGAAGTTGATCCTTCCATTTCAAGAAAAGGTAAAGTTTTTAACCTCTATCCTTGGAATAATGTGTTTATATTTCAGGTGTCCCATGTTGGAAGAAAACACATCCAGAAAATGTGTTTAAATGAGCTTTCTTAACACATTTAAATATGTTCTGCTTTTGATGGTGACACCCATTGGCACTGACTTCCAGGAGACAATTGATAATACAGTGGTAAAAAATTTGGAAATATCGTGAATTTGTGTGGTTATTTCCGGGAGGGTTTTGCTTGCGTGCGGGAGTGCAAGAGGCCTACTGATTTACGGGAGACTTTCGCAAATTATGGGAGACTTGGGCCCATAATGTTTATAAAGCTAATATTTATTGAAAATTAGATTAATATTTGAATGATCATCTTTGATTACAGCCTCAACAAGTAAATTTCGTTCCATGTTGTCGGTCAACAAACAACCCAGACTGAGCCTCAAGCTACTAGGTCCAACTAAAGAACAGAAGACATCTATGGAGTAAGATTTTAAATTATTTTGAAATTTTAACAGTTATATTTGGTACAAAGTTGCATTTTCATGTAGGAAATTACCACACATAGATTACAATAGTCACGAGAGTGTCTACTGTATGCAAATCAGCCAGTAATTTTATTGATAAGTTCTTTATTTTAAAAACCGCA